TTCTGATCATGTGCAATACCTTGAATGAGGACCAGTATCTCTATTGCTACGAGCGTCTCAACGTCTTCCGCTGCCGCTAAATAGTGCTGCTGTGAACATAAATCTTTATCTCCGAATTCGGAGACACTGTATCTCAGTCCAGGCCGACAATGCTCTCAGGGTTATTTATTGTTGAAATAAAATGCTTTTTTTAGACCAGCGCCCAAACATGTCTAGGTGTCAAATGAGAACACTTTTTTGTTTGTCATACTGTTGTTTCGGTGGTGCAATAGATCTACAGATACGCTATCAGGAATTGTAGATAGGCACGTTTGTAGATTTTAAAACTACAAGCAGAAAACGGGAAACAGAATTACGCCCGTAAACAAACCTTAACATGGACGTATCCAAACTATTTTTAAATTAAAGATAATATTCCATGTTCTCGTTAGAGATCACACCACTTAAAGAAAGGATATAGTCTAAATTTTGGTCACTTTCATATTCTGTAGCTGCGTCTGAGCTACATGACGTGAAACACAGCTGTTTGGGAAACCAAGATGGTGGGAAGCTTACTTCGATGGTTTCAGCCAAATATGCCTACCAGTGTGAGGCAACCTGTCCGGGTACCATTATACAGAAATTCGTGACTTCAAAATATCTTTTAGTCACCATCCTTGGAAAATGCAGTGACTTATTTTTGTGATGTGAGACACTTTCTATCAAACTGAAGGAAAAAAAGAAAAAATCATATCGACAATGTCTCACCTGACATTGTGTCATTAAAACGGAAACAACAGTTGTAAGCAAAAGATAAAGTACGTTTAAGTTACTGCAAAGAGTCTACTCGTAGATTTCACAACAGTTTGAAATGGCAGGTGGCAGTTTCTGACAAGTGCAATTTTCAACTGGTCCGATGTAATGACCCGTCCAAAAGTCACAAATCAGTTTCACTCATTACAAGTTGGTTTATAGTTTCAGAATGTACATGGGCATGTAACGAAGGGTATCTGTCGTATCATAAACTGACTGAATTGGTGCCAATTTTTCGTTCCCGATCCCTCATTCGTCACCGACTAGCGAGGTAAAAAAGCCACACTCGTCCGCTAGAAGTTCCTCGGGGCTACCAAACTCCACCATACGACCCCCGTCCAACACGATAATCTTGTCCGAGTTTCGAATGGTTGCTATGCGGTGCTTTTAGAAAACAGAAAAAGGAACATCATGAAAATTTGCACCTATGTGACATCTGCAATATTGGTTTCTAGACTGTCTCTGTTTTTCCCTGGGATTAAAACCGATGGCCGCATCACTGAAAGAACAGACTTACTAGTAAGAGCATAATTGTAATAACCCCAAAATGTGAATCCTAAATTAATTTGTAGGTTTTATGCACTTTTTTTCTTTCAAGCAAAGCTTTGACTGTTTTCCAAAGAACACAGATAAAGAATTGAGTGGACGTCTTTGGTTTTTTCCAAACTTGTCCGTCCCCTTTGTATATTCAGAAGTTTTTTAATAAAAAAAAATGAATTAACAAAACTTTATCTCATTCATTATTGTCAAAGTACTCTAATAAACCTACCGCAATAGTTAAAACAGTTCTATCCGCAAATGCCGTAGCAACGACATTCTGTAATGTCTTGTCCTGCAAGGAATCATGTACAAAATTCCACTGGCAGTTACTTTTAGAAACTAAGACGAAAGGTAATTATTTATTAGGCATATTAATAAAATATTCGATCAAAACAAAATAACAAAATAAAATAAACGACCAAAACAAAATACCCAAACAGTGTACATATGAGCAACACAAAAATTATAAGGCCGAACAAAGAACAAAAAAGAGACAAATAGACAGTCGTAGTGACCATGGGCGAACATCAACTGAATACAAGGACATGGCTTGTGACTCTTGTTTAGGTCAGGGATTGCAAACGTAAAATAGCTACTACTACCAGCGGGTAATTGAGAGATTACAACCACAATGCCCTGATGAAGAAAAATAATGGCCCCACAATACCATAGCAGATTTAAAGTTCACAGTAAAGAGTCCACTCTTTTAGAGCTGTAGATTTAAACGACCCCTTAGCATTCTTACACCTGCTATACCTTTTACGACTTTCTCATCGATCACCTTTTTTCTTATCAACTTAAATTTGACTAGCTTCAATCGCATTTAAAACTAAATGACAGGTTAAGTGTCACCAAATGAAAGTTACTGCTTATGAATAATTGACACGACTTCTATTACTGTAGTTGATTTTATAAAAATCAAAGTTATGTTTTTTGCTGTACGATGTAAGCCTTTTGTTTACTGAGAGTTGGAACTGTAACTTTATTTAGAACAAACAGAAATTTAAATGACCTAAATATTCAATTCGATTTCTCACATAAATTATGTAGTTTGTTTCCATGAATTTAAAAGAACATTAGTAAATTTAAGCCAAGGCATCCGGCATGGATAAATTTTAAAACAAGTTACCGTTTCCATGTCTACTGAAGCCGTGGCTTCGTCCATGATGAGGATGCGAGACTTTCTGAGGAAGGCTCGAGCCAGGCAGAACAGCTGCCGCTGACCAACGCTGAAATTCTCACCGCCTTCAGTCACCACTGTATCTGTGGTGAGGATTCAAAGCAGAGATCAAACTCCAAAACCATCACACCCACTAGACCGCAGGACGACTTCGACTTTCCACCGCTTGGATTATTTTGGCATTTCGCTAAGAGTAGCAATAAAGTAGCAACATGACGACAATATTGACAATGTGTTTTCGGGAAGCTGAAGGCAAAAAACGACAAGGACCAGGGAAAAAGCTGAGCTCGGCTTATGTTTCCCCTCTGCTCCTGGTTCCCTGTTTGTTAGCTGCCACTATTGACAAATTTTTTCACTTCTCAGACCGTTTTCAGGTTTTTAAAAATAGTTTCCAATGTAAACAATTTATGTTTGACCATTGTAAGTCCTGCGTTACTAGAGACTCATTTCAAACAAATTGAGCAAATGAACTTCCAATCTGTAACCTACCGAGTCCCCCGTCCAGTTGTGAGACAACATCTTTTAGCTGTGCAATCTCAAGGGCGCGCCACATTTCGTCGTCTGATACCTTCCCTTCAGGGTCCAAATTTGTCCTTACAAAAACAGACTTCAGGTGATTGTTTTGTGAAAGTAATAAAATGTTGTGGGGAAAACAATCAACGACAGGCATATGTAGGCCCTACAAAGATGGCTAACTACTGAGAGTTACGTGCAGCTAAATCGCACTGGTATCCATCGTCACTTACAAAACCATATTTATTGTTTTCTACCAGGGTATACACAATGGAAACCAAATCTTGAACTGATATGCTAGACTGGCATTTCTGAAAATAGCACACGCCATCCTCAGATTGTCCAAAACAACTCACCGCAATCTGAATTTGAAAAAAAGTCCTGATAAGAAGCATAAAAAGTAAAATGGATTGGTTGGCCATGAAGAGATTTACCTAACAGGTCCAGTAAACAGCACTGGGTCTTGAGGGATGATAGATATTTTGCTTCTGAGTGTAGTCAATGGTACAGCCATTATATTCACACCGTCAATGAATATCCGACCTGAGGGAAGGAAAATCGAAAATAAACCCAAATATGCCAATTACAACTCATATTCGTACTATATCCAAGGTTATTTATATTGAAAGTGCCATGTTATCATTCGGTATTATTAACTATTACGTGACACCTTACTATCACATTTCTTAAATAACTTGAAGGCAGTAATTGTATCTTAGTAAAACCCTTGGATAAATCCTTCCATATCAATAAAATGTCGCCATGAGTAAACGTTACATATGAGAAAGTTAAAAAGGGTAAAGAAATCTTCCAAAATGTCATAAATAGGAACACTCTTACTGGGGCCAACCACTGATTTCAAGAGTTCACGACAAGGTGTCACAGGTCATTAACGCTGCACAACACCTGAATTGCAGATAAACAGTGTGCGTACAGTGCAATCTACTCATTACTCATGACAAGATACCTTCAAAGATATCAATGACTCTCAGCAATGCCAGGGTCAGGGACGACTTGCCACTTCCAGTTCGGCCACAGATACCGACCTGGGAAAAAAGGAACCCAACACAATTGTCAGCTATTTCTCCGACTTGGGGACGAGGAGATCGCTAATCACGAGACTGGCTAAGTATTCGCTATACTTCTCCTCACCTTCTCCCCTGATTTCAGGTACACTGACACATTCCTGAGCACAGCTTCAAGATCTTCTGCATATCGGACTGACACATTGTCGATGTGTATCTCTCCACTATGAGGCCATCCAGATGAAGGTTCGGCACCTGATTTCAAACAATATGATTTAAGCCAGAATAACTGTAATGGAGAACTTGGATGGCACAAATTTATTGTCTAGTAGAACATAATTGTAAAAGCGCGATACTCAGTCACAAACATCATATTTCATTAGTCTCAGTGATCAGTTGGACTTGTCTGTGGCTTTCTACAAAATGTAAAGTTAACATCCAATCTGACACTCAACTGTATATAATTTTAAGCTCATGCTGTATGGAAAACACCAAGTATCGTCTAATCTTATTGTGATGCACAATGCTCATAGCAGACTAGCTGCATCTCAAGGAAATGTCTCCATGTGGCTTTACAGATCGCTGAATTCCGTGCCCTTAAAGAGACTGATGACAGCGTTGACAGCAAGAGAAAGAGAAAAATGTCATCTTGCCTGAATAGTCCTCCCGGTCCACCTCGCTGAAGAACTGAATTCGCTCCACGGCATTCATCTGCATCTCCACCTCAGTCCGATTTCTCATGAGATAGTTGAGATAGTTCGACATCTGCAAAGAAGGGATATTTTGAATGCCAACTTGACACATTTCAGCCTTTTAAACCATCAGAGCCATGGTTCTTTTTAAGTGTAGGCCTAGATCAAGTTCTGAAAATGAATCGCTGGTGTTATGCTCAATCTCCCTTCTGTCTGTCTTACTAATCAGAATTCATAAATAACTGGGACAGTTCTTCTATACCTATTGGCCGAAATCCGTCATGTGACCGTGTATTAACATGTGACAATAACTGCTGAGAAGTAAATGACTGCTGCGTAAATCATGTGATAACACATGGTTACGAGACAGTTTAATTGGGTCTGATTGGTAAGAAGTCTGTGTGCACGCGATGCGCCAGCGCGCCAAGTTCATTGAAGGGGATTCTGTTCTGGACAACTTTCAAAAGGAATATACTATAAAATGGACGGGGGTGTTTGGGAAAATGAAAGTAAAGTTTTAAAACAAAACCGTTGGAAATCCATCATATCTTAACTTTGTTTGACTTTCGGAATTAACAGGTATTTATGAATGGGAATAAATATGTGCTTGGCTAGTCTTAACTAACGTTTAAGACCGGCTCAGGATAATGGATGAGACAAATGCCCGAGCAGTATTATTGACTTGAGAATGATCAGCAAGTTTTGCACGTTTGTTGAGATGCCCTGATTAATGCTTTCACAGAATACTAGATTCATACATTATGCCAACCAAACCCCTGCAGTTTTGGGCGGGTCAAAGTGATTACGGATTGAAATGCTTGCAAAAGCTAGGTATCTGATAGACTATACTTGGCAAAACGAAAGATATTAAAAAAAAGAGAGAACGAATAGAACATTTTACAAAGTTCACTGTTTGAGCACTTTTACATTTATAACAAAGCAAGAGGCCCTGTATTTTTGTGTCTGCCTATTATCACTTCCACGCATAAAATAGCACAGAAACCAAACCAATTAGGTACATGTACATGTGGTTTATCTTAACTTTAATAGTCGTACACTTACCTGCAGGCTGTATGCAGAGCTCAGACCCACCAAGCTGGGATTAATACCAAATGAGAGCGCGCCAATTAACGTAGATCCAGTCGAGAGAAGCACAAACAGAACTCCAAGGGCGTCCTGGGTAAAGAATGTACGACGACAGAACTTAAACTTCAAATGCACTTTAAGTAGGCCTTTGTAGACTGAGTTCTGATTTGACACACTTGATATATATATGGGACCAACTGTTCTAACATATGCAAAGTAAGGTGGAAAAAATTACTTTCTTTGTAGTGATGGACGATCTCTTTCTGCTGTTATAGCTTTCAATAATAACTTAAAGCCTCGCCAAGGTTATATGAAGTCGATCATCAAACGCTCTTACGTACCATCTGTACAATGGCACATCCGTATCGGCTATTACTGTTACTATTGGATAACTATGTAAATATAGACGTTGAAACAATGTTTGCGACCTGACATCCGAGCAAAACATGCAATTTAGGTATTTCACATCGTGACGTAAAATGAAAAAAAATTTCAACGTCGGATGAACGTCTAACTCCCTACACCGAATCAACGTTACCGTTTTGGCCCTAATGTTGAATAAAGATTGAACTTGGGTGGTTAAAATTGCTACCTAATTTCGACAATATATTAATCTAGGGTAACTGTAAAAAATACAGAAGTTGAAAAGAACACTTCCGACCTTACGTTGACAAAACACTTAATTTAGGTTGCCCATTTCGCGACATTATATCAACAAATATTCAACGTCGGATGCCCGTCTAACCCCGTATACCGAATCAACATCATACTCTTAACGCTGATTAAGCATGGGATTTGGGTTGTTGAAATTGCGACGATATTCCGACAATAAAATATTAATGGATAACTGTGGGAATATAAAAGTTGACGTTTGCAACCTTACATGGGCTAAACATTAAATTTAGGTTGTTAATATCGCGACACGATTTCACCAATAACTCAACTATGAATAAACGTCAATAGCATTGGATCATCAGCATTGGGTAAATATTTAATTGAGTTTGCTAATGTCGCAATCAATTTTAACTATACTTCCAATGTTTAATAAACGTCTTTTTGAAACGTCAGAACTACGCCACAAAAGTGATGTTGAGATAATGCTGGATTATAGTTATCGACGTTGAAACAACATGCCAACCAGATTCCAACCAAACTTCAACGTAAAATTACGTCGTGTGCTTGCTGCGAGTCTCTCATTTGCAGTGATGCAGGTTCATTAATTGAAATCAGTGCAAACCTGCATGTTAAGTTACAGTGAGACATGCAATATAATAACTTTGACTGTGAAGGCAGGATTTGTCTTCTGGAATAACTTACAAGCCGCACTGCCAGCCATCTCGCCCCCATCTGCACATAAAGGAACGCCGCAGTGTTTCTGTCGATTCGAGCGAGAATGGTGTTGTAAAATCTATTCTCGCATCTGTAAGAAAAATGAAAACGAAAAGAAAACAACCAGTGGCTGTCTTGGCAAGAACATGCGGCTCGGTTTGACAATTGTGAAATCTAAAATTATCTACTTTAAAAAAATAGCAACATTTAAAATCTATAAAAACCTGAAACTCAACAGTTCACTCTCCGAAGTAGAAACTTATAATTGTGGCACAAATGTGACACACATGTTGAAACAATAACTTAAGTGATTATTTTATCATTATAATAAACGAAATAATAAAATTAAATCCAAATCTGCTCGACCTATTTCTAATTGTTACCTATAGCGCTTTCTTTGGCGTTTATGATCAAAGTACATAGCCTAGCCTAGTGTAGGGAAACTCTTATACCTGTAAGCTCGGATTGTAGTCAGTCCGCCGAGACTCTCCGAGAAGTACGAAAAGACGGGAGATTTGCTAATGCTCTCCAATCGTTGAAGCTCTCTGGGTATAAAAATCAATACAGTCCAATTACTTTTCCTCAGGGATGGTTTCCACGTTGGTGATAAGGACAGTGCTTGCAAGTTACGTCCTTTTTAGAATGGTTCTCCCAATCCGTTTGCCAAATACACTGTCTCTGAACCAACAATACCGTGTCCTCTGGTTAAACAAACCCAATAGAATTGGTAACTATAGTTTGACTATCTTTCAGGTATCTTTTCCTCCATATTTCTTCGCCCATTGCTTAAATAAGCGTGTAAGGCTCTTTCTGTTTATACCATTTGCTATTCTTGGAAATAATCGTTGCAAAATCTTGCACCGTGGCTTTTGCAACAATGACTTGAAGGCTTTGCCTCTGTGGCGTTGTCAGTTCAGCGAATTGAATAACTGAACATTTGCTGAGTCACGCATGGAAAATGGCTGTCACTTTCGATCAACTCGAACCCCCGCTGCAAGGAATTAAAACTAGCTCACCCAAAGAATCAAGCCATAAGTTACATACTTTTTCCTGACCATTATATGGTCAGTTAAAAGTGTATCTTATCAAGCAGTATAGTTGTAGCTATTAGGCGATTGAAACTCGGGGGAGCTGAGGTAGATGCAGGCTTTAAAGACACATTGTTCAGGAAAGTACTTAAAACGTCTCCTACCTAGAAGTGGTCAAGTAGTACCTCTGCAGTATGTAATACACAATGGCTATTGGGATGACGAACACAAGGAAGATGGGCATGACCACGCCCACTACAACCACGGACGCTATAATCTGCATGATGCTGACGACGAAAAAGTTGTACGTTTCTGGTAGTCTCTGGTTAATGGGAGTGAGAAAAAATACAAATGCCATATTTAGTCTGAGCACGCTTTTTAGACCAGTTTCCATCAGGAACGCAAATGTGATTAGGCCTAAGAACTTTGTTCCTCTGAATTTACTGCTTGTTCATTTCCCAAAGCTCAAACTTGCAAAGCTTCAATACACAAGTCCTTTTCCCTAATTTTGCTGTAACATTGTAAAATAGGCCAAAGCTGAGGTTATGAAGACCTTTTTGAGTTGAGTTTCATTACAATATGAATAGCTGACTGTACATAAATGCATTCGTGTGTGTTACACACAATCTTCCTTCTAGTAATCATCAGACTCGAAATTGATTTCAGATCCCATTCACTCCTTTTCAATGTTCATTTTACTGGTTTTAGGGGCAGTGTAGTGCCACGTTCACTTTTGTGCTACTGCCGATCTAGAAAAAAAACTGTGAAGTCATTTCAGGAAGAGACATCGTCAGTGTTACCCTGGCAGAGTTGGCATTCTGCAGCACGTACTTGCAAATAGATTGAGTGCTTTACTATTTGAAACATTAGTCTCTTTGCTCATTCTTGGCTGTTTTGAGTGAAGCGAGTAGGCCCTTGAGCAAAGTCTTCTTATAAATACTTTTATATAAAGGCCAATTTGGAGCACAGTATACAGTGTGGTTTTCACAGCAACAGTGACCCAATTTGTCAAGAAAAGTGTTTGAAATTGCACGCTTCAAGAATGTCCACTAACGGGAATGTTCAGGAGGAGTAGAAAGCGTCTCAAAAGCGTACATAAGTACAATCCANTATTTTTGCGTTGGGAAGATGTTAATTATATATAACGGTTTGCCAGTACCCAACGTATATTAATAAGCACTGTATGCTCAGTGCTTGTCCGAGAACTTGCGAAAAAACATCATAAGCTTACTCGGGTGGGACTCGAACCCACAACCTCCTGCTTAATAGTGCAGTGCAGTGCTTAATAATATATCTTGAAAACCCAATACAATTGGTAACTTTAGTTTGACTATCTTTCAGGTATCTTTTCCTCCATATTTCTTCGCCCATTGCTTAAATAAGCGTGTAAGGCTCTTTCTGTTTATACCATTTGCTATTCTTGGAAATAATCGTTGCAAAATCTTGCACCGTGGCTTTTGCAACGATGACTTGAAGGCTTTGCCTCTGTGGCGTTGTCAGTTCAGCGAATTAAATAACTGAACATTTGCTGAGTCACGCATGGAAAATGGCTGTCACTTTCGATCAACTCAAACCCCCGCTGCAGGGAATTAAAACTAGCTCACCCAAAGAATCAAGCCATAAGTAACATACTTTTTCCTGACCATTATATGGTCAGTTAAAAGTGTATCTTATCAAGCAGTATAGTCTTAGCTATTAGTTGTAGCTATTAGGCGATTGAATCTCAGGGGAGCTGAGGTAGATGCAGGCTTTAAAGACACATTGTTCAGGAAAAGTACTTGAAACGTTTCCTACCTAGAAGTGGCCAAGTAGTACCTCTGCAGTATGTAATACACAATGGCTATTGGGATGACGAACACAAGAAAGATGGGCATGACCACGCCCACTACAACCACGGATGCTATAATCTGCATGATGCTGACGACAAAAAAGTTGTACGTTTCTGGTAGTCTCTGGTTAAAGGGAGTGAGAAAACAATACAAATGCCATACTTAGTCTGCGCACGCTTTTTAGAGTTTCATTGCAATATGAATGGCTGACTTTACATAAATGCATTTGTGTGTGTTACACACAATCTTCCTTCTAGTAATCATCAGACTCGAAATTGATTTCAGAGCCCATTCACTCCTTTTCAATGTTCATTTTACTGATTTTAGGGGCAGTGTAGTGCCGCGTTACTGCCACTACCACTTTTGTGCTACTGCCGATCTAGAAAAAAAAAACCCGTGAAGTCATTTCAGGAAGAGACATCGTCACTGTTACCCTGGCAGAGTTGGCATTCTGCAGCACCTACTTGCAAATAGATTGAGTGCTTTACTATTTGAAACATTAGTCTCTTTGCTCATTCTTGGCTGTTTTGAGTGAAGCGAGTAGGTCCTTGAGCAAAGTCTTCTTATAAATACTTTTATATAAAAGCCAGTTTGGAGCACAGTATACAGCGTGGTTTTCACAGCAACAGTGACCCAATTTGTCAAGAAAAGTGTTTGAAATTGCACGCTTCAAGAATGTCCACCAATGGGAATGTTCAGAAGGAGTAGAAAGCGTCTCGAAAGCGTACATAAGTACAATCAA